ATAGATATGGCAAAGCGTGAACACCAAAGATTATTACTTGACATAGAACAGTCTGATAACGAGGCACAGTCTCATAACGAGGCACAGTCTCATAACAAGGCCTCTTGTTATGAGACTGTGCCTCGTTATGAGACTGTGCCTCGTTATCAGACTGTTCTATGTCAAGTAATAATCTTTGGTGTTCACGCTTTGCCATATCTATAGCAACCCTTTTTTTGATTGCCATATATATAGCAACCCTTTTTTTGATTTCTATTGTTTTCCATTTTTCTATTTGTGCCTTCATTGTTTCGTTACAATACTCCTTTAAACTATTTGGCTCTTTTTTGATGTTTATGGGAATTAGATGTGTAATAGCCTCAATGGCTACAAATATTGTAGTATTTTCTGGTTGACGGAGCCATTGTGTATAATAAAAGGCCCCTACTATTGGTAGGGCCTTTCGTATGGTAAAATTTATTGGTAGGATGATCACCATAAAAGTGATTGAAATTATTTTATAGCAATGAAGAAGCCTCTTTTTTTTGTCCCCAATACACTCTATGCACTGTATGATGGCGTAGTTCAGATTCAATATAATCCATGTAGATATAGATGCAATGACCCATCCCAGTGCTAGTGAACTTGTTGCTTGATCCATTGCTCCTACTATGTTATAATTAAAAGCAAAACAAATGATATCTTCTTCTAGTTCCTCCCTTTCTATAGCAGGTAAGTTAGTTATTGAGCCATTATCATAAAAACACTTGAACTCATGACTGGTAGATGAATCTAAATTATTATTGCCGACATAAATTACGAAGATCTTGGTTAAAAATGTTGTTACTACTTGATAAATTATCCAAATCACTCCCCAAAAGAACCCTTTCATGTGCGGTTTTGTTAATATAAACCCAAACATTACAGAATTGTTACCTTTACTTTTGATATATGGAAACATGATCCTCACCAATTTATCAGGAGTAAGACCACGGCAACCACTAATTCCAATAATTCCAACAATGATTGCTGTGGCAAGAGCAAGAAAAAATGGTATACCAATGAAAAGTACAAGATATATCTTTAAAGAGTCCATAGCAGCACAATGCAACATAAACTTGTTTTTCCCCAATAATCAATTTCATAGCAACAGATAAGCAAAATGAATGATAACTTGTATTCATGCAGCAGTTGTATGTGACTCAGCAAAACATCATGAATAATAATAATAATAATAATAATAATAATAATAATAATAATAATAATAATAATAATAATAATAAATATTAGGAATAAAAGTAAAATAATAGTAAAACAATCCTGCAAAACTTTAAAAGTCATGGCAGCTAAGTGGGGTGAATCCTCTTTAGAAACACTACCATGTTAGTGATGTTACTTATAATAATACTATACCGTACAAGATGATTTATTGGCAAGGAATTAATATTGGTGATTGGTGGTTCTATGAAGAAATCACCAATATAAAATATGCCATTTTGTTCCAATCTGAGCATCCTCAATGGCACATATGGCACAAATACGGTATTACTCTCACCAATAAATTATCTTGTACAGTAATGCTAATAGCAGTAAGCAAGCAAGGAAGCTATAGTGCAGGTTTATGGTGATGTGTTATAAGAAATCTATTGTCTATTTTATATAATGTTACACACATGAAGTTATGTTGTACATGTACTCATGTAGGTAGTAATTTCCTTCTCTGACTTTATTTGCATTATATCACATTAGTTAATGATATTAATTAATTTCAATATAAATTCATAGGCTGACTCAGCATTATGTAATGCTGTATGACACTTATTCATTATGGTAAAATGTAAAATCTATTTTCTTTGATGTTTTTTATGTCTATGAATGATGCAATTTAAATGATATTTATTATTATTAATGTTAAGATAACAGAAAAGCAATATTATTCATTATGGTAAAATGTAAAATCTATTTTCTTTGATGTTTTTTATGTCTATGAATGATGCAGTTTAAATGATATTTATTATTATTAATGCTAAGATAACAGAAAAGCAATATTATTCATTATGGTAAAATGTAAAATCTATTTTCTTTGATGTTCTTTATAGCCCCGTTTACACTACAAACCAGTTTGGATCAAAGCGGTTCAGGAACCAGCTTAATTGTGTCCACACGTAACTGTGGTTGAATCGGTTTACAATGCTACATTGCATACATAATACAGCTGCTTCAGTACTTAAACCGGTTTGATTATCTCAAACCACCTCCTGAGGTGGTTTGAGATAAGTCGGTTTAAACCGCATGAAATGTCCACACGTAAACTGATT